TATATATATATATATATATATATATATATATATATATAAAATCTTTTGGTATAATGTACTTCAAGAACTTATACTTCACGAATGTTAATAACAACGAAAAAATGTATTAACTTTCCATTAAATTTTAACGTGTGATAGTTGATCAGTTGAATATTATTTTTATTATTATAAAATAACTTGTCTTCTTTCAGATCTCTTTTCCATGAGCTAAATAAAATTATATGAAAATTAATTAAACAACTATTTTAATTCAGTGTTTCCATTATGTTTATCATATTTGTCCTTCTTTCCTAATTTATTTGTCCACTCTTAAATTGATATACATATTAAAAAAATAACTATTAATATAATTAATCTTTCATTTTATTTCTATTAACTATGAAGCATATTAAAAACTTACAATTTTCAAGAATTTTAATTTTTTAAAGTAATTAATTGAGGATATAATAAATAAAATTATCCTTTCTTACCAAATTGAATAAATAATTAGAAAAAAAAAGTGATTAGGGACAGGAGAGTATAATTAATACTTATATTTTTTTCAAGTTTTATTAAATAATTTAATTAAATACTCTCTTCGTCTCAATTTATATGTCACTTGTCATTTTTCGAGAGTCAAATAGTTTAAGTTTGACAGAAATTTTTTGCATGAAATATTCAACTTTTTTGAAATGAAATTATATACAATATTTATAAACTACATAAAAATTAGTACTATAAATCATATAATAAGGAAAAATTCTCTTAGCTAGCAAATTTGACATGAATTTGATCATAATGATAAAACAACGGGTAAAACTTATTCGTACTGGGTGTTCACACCAAGTCAATACATGCATTTCATGTGTTTAAATTTATAGTTCATTTTACTTTATTAAATTATGTAATAGTGCATTTTGCATTGATTGGTGTAAACACCGCCGCGAGTAAGTTTTTTTTTAAAAAATAATATATTTCTCGCTATATTATTTTATTTTTTTGGAACATTTTTACCTTTTTAACTTTAATACCTTTTAATTAAAAAATGAAAAAAAATGAGTTTATTTTAAAATAAAAATAATATTATATACTTTTTAAATCTCTGATCAAATTTTCTGACTGTTTAGCATTGATAATCTTTAAAAAATCTATAAAAATCTTACCATAAAA